AGAACACGTGCTTCTAAGACAAAGTCACTCCATCAAGGAAGATAATTAATACCTGGGAGACAATGCACAGACCCAAGGTTTCAGAATTCTGAAGGGAAACATCTTTAAATACCCATTTAATGGAGGAGACAAATGCGGTTTCCATGCACTTTGCATGAGCAAGATCCACTCATGAGTGCAGTGGACCTAGTGTAATGTGTTCTCCATCCATTGCTAGCTCCTGCCACCCAGGATTGAGGACCAGAATCAGAAATCAAAGATCATTTCTTCATAAAAAATGAAAGGTATTTGTTCTGAATTCAAATCCTAGGTTTTCTGTAAAACATGTTTATGTTTTAGGAAGAAAGGATTTTTTTCTTTAAAAGAGATGTTAATATCTACAGACTTGATATCAAATTTTCTCCAAAGTTTCTCAACAAATTTATCAAAAAATTATGTTAAAAATTTCTTCTAGAAGACGTCTCATTCAAAATCTGATAAACCTGACAGTAATTACCTTCAGCAAGATTCTCTCAAACTTTCAAGGTATGTTTTTAAATAGTGCTGTTGTTTGTCAGATATTGATATTTTACTTATGAAGGAATCATTACTTTTAGGGTTTATCCACTACTGTCACAGAACGCTTCATCTTTGCACCATTTTTTAAAGTTACTGGTGAATATATTATTTTAATTTAACGTTGTATAATGTGACACATGTCAAGGGAATGAATTTAGAAAAGCCACCTGTCTAACTCCAAGAACCATTGTTTTGCACTGTTTCCCCTTTTCATAAGCAAAACTAAACATGAAGATGCATACAAAGTTTAGCTAGACCTCACATAGCAGAAGTTCTAAATATGAACATTAAATGAATAATCATAAGCTCTTGATTCAAGCACAAGCACATTCTGTGATCATGTGCTATGGCTGTATCAGACTTGTATGGTTCCTTTGAAAATATATTGGAGGAAATTCATCTTGTGTTTATGGCAGGGTTAAATATTTCTCCATGTTATTCCCTAAACTGTCAGTTCTACATATGTGGTGATTATACACATAATTATGAAAAAGTGAAGGCATATATTCATACTGGCATACTAGTGCTTGTTTTCCTATTTTAATCAATTCTCATAGTATATTACAAGGTGATTTTTCTTATTCTCATTTTATAATCAAATGATGAAGCAATTATGTGAAGTGACAGGAAATACACTCCACATAAGGGATGTCACAGGAGGAAGAATAAAGAATCTCTGCTGATCTTCAACTTTTTATTTTTGGTCTTTTTGACACAGTGTTTCCCTATAGCCCCAGCTGACCCAGAACTTTCCACGTAGACTACGGTTGACCTCACAAAGAGTCACCTGGGTTTAAAGGTGTGCACTACCATGCTCAGATGATCTTCCAGTTCTTGAGCCAATATATTCAGTTGCTGTTTCAGTGACTTTCAGCAGTTTTCACCAGAGTTTGTGGATCTTTATTTTATAATAATATTAAGGAATGATGTAATAAATAACAGGCCAAGATGAAGGAGCCCTGCCAAGAATACAGCAACACTCATATTCTTAGTATTGGTATTATAATAATATCATTGCATGTCTAAATGTGCATTGATAAAATTGCTTCATAGGGAGTTGTTGAAATAGTATTAAAGTTAGTACCCACATGATGGCTAACAACCAAACCGTAACTCCAGTTCTAGGGGATCCAAAACCATCTTTTGTCCTCTGAGGGCATTGCATGAACAAGTATACTTACATGCAGGCAGGCAATAGACTCATACACATACAATAAAAACAAATTTAAAAAATTAAAAAAGAATATCAAAAGATGAAAATAGTCTCATTACATCAAGAGTTGATTACGAATAAATTTAAATAACATGACAATACGTGGTATAGAGTTTTACGTTAGGAATTGAGAATTATGTATGTTAAAATTGTGGGAACAAAAACTAAGAATCAAAATAATCAAAGTGATAATTAACACTACCAATATTCTTCTCTACTTTGCTGGCTTAGGAACATTATTTACTGTTACTATAGTATGTAAAGAAATATATTGATATTAGCCACCTACTTCCTTCATAAGGGGAATCACATAAGCAAATGTCTCTAAAATATAAAAAAGGAGTATTTGGAAGTTTTTATTAATGATGCTCTTATAGATGAAACATAATACTATTGATATTTATTTCTATAATGGATGAAATAATAGCATAAAATAATAGCAATCACACAGATTAAAGTACTATATCAGCAGCCATGGATATGACAGACTTATTAAATATCATGGACTTTTTTACAGTAACTCTTCTATTTTTTCATGGCATCATTCATCAAAATATCTCTGAAAGTCTTTGTTGTTGCCTCCCAGCACTTGGGAGGTAGAGGCAGACAGAACTTTGTGAGCTCAAGGCCAGCCCGGTCTACATAGTGGGTTCCAGGACAGCTGGGGCTACAAGGAGACCCTGTCTCAAAAAGAGAAAAAAAAAATTTAACTTTGGGAATTCCATGAATGTATTTTGGTCATATTTATCCCCATACCCATCACCTCCCAGATCCACCCACTTCCCTAACCACCCAACATCCTTTCCTCTTTCACTCCTTTAAAGCCCATGTAGTCTAATGTGTATTGTCAAAATACTCTTTGGTGAGTCTATTCCCTGGAGCATGGTTGGCCTACCAGTGGTCATACTCTTAAGGAAAATGAACCTCCTTCTCCTAGCAGCTATCATTTGTCCTCACCTAGGGGTGGGACTTCAAGCCCACCTCCTTACTTCATACTGGCATTTTGTCTGACAAGCTGTCTTAGTTTGTTTCCCCCATTGCTGTAACAAAACTCTCTGACCAATACCAACTTGGGCAGGAAAGAGTTTACTTAGCTCACATATCCCGCGTCACAGTTCATCTGGGAGCCCAACATAGGAACTCAGGGCAGGAGGTGGAGTACAGGCCGTGGAGGAATGCTGCATACTGGCTTGCTCCTCTGGCCCCTACTCAGCCTCCTTTCTTATGCACCGTAGGCCCACCTGCCCAGGGGTGGCACCACCACCCACAGTGGGCTGGACCCTCCAATAGCACCCAACAGTCAAGAAGGTGCCCAGTGGACATGGTCACAGGCCTGTCCAATGAAGGCAATTCCCCAATTGAGGCTCCCTCAACCCAGGTGTGTCAAGCTGACACTAAAGTCATCTAGCACACAAGCTTTCCAGTATGTTGAAACAAGATTGAGATTCTGCAGAACCTCCATACCTTAGATGGGACCTTTCAGGAATACATCTTGAAGGATGCTCCAGGATGCATACAGGAATGTGTGGGATCATTGGAGCATCATGATCAATGAGGAAGAAGTGGTCACCTTGCAGCAGTTCCTATGTTTTGGAGAGACCAACTCCTTAGTTGAGCTCAAAGCAATTCCAAGGAAAGACAGAAAACTTTCATCACACCACCTTCCTCAGCAAAACATAGATGTTAGGGCTCTCATTGCTGCCATCCGGAGGGCTAACCTCCACTCCTGTGGACAAAGGAAACCCCAGCATCAGACACCCTTTGAGAACTTCATAAAAATATGTCTTTCATGATCTTTCTGGATTTGTAGCCCTCTGCCTCCTTTACTGATAGGGTCATTGTTCAAAGAGTACTTGTTGGAGCAGGGTCAGGACCAAAGCCAGGACTCCAAATGGGAAGTCCATGAAGTTGTCTCTGAAAAAAAAACTCCTTCACTTCCACACCATTTGAGGTAGAGAAAAATAGTGTTTAATCTGTCCAGATGCTGTTAGTCAAAAAGAAGACAGTACACACTGAAGTGACTTCTTAAATTGGGCAGGGGACAGTGTGTGTGAGGTGTGGAGAGGGTAGGGGATTTAAATGTCATCAAACTTTACGGTATGAAATTGCAAACATTCAAGAAAAAAAGATTTTAAGACAAAGTATCTTCCAAACAAGGAAAAATCATTCCCTTGTTAGACAAAGTATAAATAATCCTCCAGCCAGTAGGTACTGCTGTAGTATCATGTAGTTAGGAAAAGGAATTTGGGGTTCTGGTCCAGGTGTGAAACAGTGTTCTTGCCCACTATGTCTGACATTCTTTACATCAATCTTTAATTGATTTTTAATGTTTATTATATCTAAATAAGAAGAAAATATTTCTAGAATACTCATAATCTGAAAAGTTGAAATTGTAATGTATTTGCATTAACATTCATTACAAAAGAATGATTCTTCTTTTTAAAAAAAGATTTATTTTTATTTTATGTGTATGTGTGTCTTCCTGCTGGTATGTATGCAAGTACGTATGTGTACCATGTGCTTGTCTGGTACCCACAGAGGCCACGAAAGGTATTGGAGCCCTAAAACTAGAGTTATATATTATTGGGAACCACCATGTAGGTACTGAGAACTGAACCTGCATCCTCTGAAGAGCAGCAAATGCTCTTACTCTGAGAGTATTTTCCATAAGTAGAGAAATTATGATAAATATTGCAATACCTGGGGTTACTTCTCTCTCTTCCATTACTTACTAAACTCCAACTTATTTCACACAGTATTCATATACAGTTTACTATGTCATTGTTTAAAGTCACCAGAATTCACAGTCCTTGATAATCTTCTAGTTATTTCTTTACTACATTTGATTATTCCATAGTGACCAAGACTAAAGGGGAAATGTCCTTCCGACTGGTGGCTATTTCATCTGTCCCGCCTTTTATGAGATTAATCCTTTGCATTGCTATACTATGAACTTTTATTTAGGCCTGAGTCATTTCAAACAATACAGTTATACAGTATACTGGAATTCCTCCCAGTAAGTTTACAAAGTGGGACATGTTTTTATTCTCTGCAGTTGTTTTCATCTAGGAGACAAGGTTAGTAATCTTAAGCACTCAGAACTTGATTTTGCAATATCAAAAAAGTCTATTTTAAAACTCACAGCTTAATATAATTACCCATTAATGGTTAGAATATAGAAATTAGAGTTGAGGAATTTTTTTCCCCAGGAAATGTAGTGAACTGTCATATGAAGCAGATGGAGAACAGAAACAACGTGACGGAGTTTGTTCTCTTGGGGCTCACACAGAACCCCAAAATGCAGAAAATCATATTTGTTGTCTTCTTGGCCATCTATATCGTCTCTGTGGTGGGAAATCTGCTCATTCTGGTGACCATCACCCACAGCAGATTGTTGGATTCCCCTATGTACTTCTTCCTAGCCCATCTCTCCTTTATTGATGCCTGTTACTCCTCAGTCAATAACCCTAAATTGATTGCTGATTCACTCCATGAGAGGAAGCTCATCTTATTCGATGGATGTATAACACAAATCTTTGGGGAACATTTCTTTGGAGGTGCTGATGTCATCCTGCTAACAGTGATGGCCTATGACCGCTATGTGGCCATCTGCAAGCCCTTGCACTATGCAACCATCATGAACCGAGGACTGTGTAAACTGCTAGTGGGAGTCTCATGGGCGGGAGGCTTTCTTCATGGGATCATACAGATCCTCTTCATTATTGGTCTACCCTTCTGTGGCCCTAATGTCATCAATCACTTCATGTGTGATCTGAACCCTTTGCTTGATCTTGCCTGCACTGATACCCACACTCTGGGAATCTTTGTTGCTGCCAATAGTGGGTTCATCTGTCTGTTAAACTTCCTCCTTCTTCTGGGCTCCTATATAGTCATCCTGCGCTCCCTAAGAAACCACAGTGCAGAGGGAAGACAAAAAGCCCTCTCCACATGTATCTCCCACATCACAGCAGTTGTTGTATTCTTTGTTCCCTGCATATTTGTGTACATGAGACCTGCAACTACATTACCCATTGACAAGGCAGTTGCTGTATTTTACACTATGATAACTCCCATGTTAAACCCATTAATCTATACTTTGAGAAATGCTGAAATGAAAAATACTATTAGGAAATTGTTTAGTATTAAAGTTCATTCAGAGGACAAGTAAATCAACAATCATTCTACTTTGATTAATCTTAGAAAAGGATTCAAACAAATTAATAAATGATATGCATATGGATTATTTTATATAATGAAGATTAAAGCCATAACCATCATTTACAAATGCTGCCTTGAGTGGTAATACAGATTTAATTTTTCAGCAGGGTTAGCAGACACATTTGGGTGTAGGAGGGCCTCTATCATAGAGATGGAGAAGATTTTGTCATTTATAAAGACCCTTGATTTTGTTCCATTGTCTCCACTTCTTCATCTGTTCAAGGATGTGGGCCAGAATTCAGGATTTGTCTTTTTCTAATCCTCTTTGTCTATCAGTTCCTTTGTCTCTTGACAAAAGTCAATTTCAATGTCTCTTGAGAACTCTTTCTGTGTCAATGAAATGTCTCTGGATGAAGAACTCAACATGGAATCCTTATGAATGTGTGAAGAGAATGTAAGAACTGAGGGAAGCTACTAAGCAGAAGAAAAAGGATGTGGTCTCAATTGCAGTGCCTGTCCATCCTGTGGCCTTGGTATCTCAGTTACCAGGGAAGAAATGGACCTTCCGTTTACACATCTATGACAGTTTTTATTGTTCATGGAACAGCCCTAAGGTGTCAGGCCTAATCCCTTAACTGAAGCTCCTTTTCCTGATTTGAATTGACCAGAGAACAGTAAGGTTGTTAACTGCTAGTTTCTTAGACGCACAACATCTGAGTCACTAGCAAATATGTCAGTTAGAGAGGATTTCTATCTGAATTCAGCTGTGTAGATTGTACTTTATATCTTTACCAACATGGACAGATACCTACTCTACTGCCTTGCATACACAGTTATTACAATAATCTGCTCTCTTGATGTCAGGCTTGTTCCTTTTATGATGCATTAACATAGTTGGCCAAGCGTGGTGGCACATGTCTTTAATCCCAGCACTGGAGAGGCAGAGGCAGGTGGATCTCTGTGAGTTCAAGGCCTACCACTGTACAACCTAATCCTATCACCATACAACCTAAAATCACTCAATATTCTCACTCAAAAAGGCCCTTATCACTGTCATTCCAGACCAGAACTTCCTGCCTGTCCTTGTCTCCCTAGTCTCAGATTATTACAACATATTTTTCTACTAGTGCAGTAAACATTTGACACCTAATAATTCAAGTCATTTCAATAAATAGTTGTCCAATAAAATGATGAATGGGTATGTGAGACACACAGCCAAGTTGAACTGGTTAGGGTTTATGCATATTCTTTTTAAAGGCTGGCCTTTACTGTCTGTGGCTTTCAGTACAAACACTTTGGCCAAATGTCTTGCTTATTCACTCCTAGTGTCTCCATGTTCCTGTAGTGACATTTTTCAGGTCTTAACCTCCCATCCCAGATGCCCCCACACAGGCATATACATTATGCAACTATACACAATAGTAATAAAATTTAAAAATTATTCCCTTGCTGGCAAAAATAACTTAGAACTCAATGAAATATCTATTACATTTGTAGTAACACACTCTGCAGAATGAGTAAAATATTGTAAGTTTGTATGGAAAAATATAAAGAATTCCTGAATAGCCAAAGCCATCTTAAAAGTAATCAACCAGAATGCATTGCAGTATTTGGCTTCAAAATATGCTACAAAGAATGTAAGATATGATATAAGAATAGTATGGATAAGTATTTAGAATATAATTAGAAATTATTTGGTTGATGAAAATGGTCATAGGACGTTCTCCTCTGGACCTGATGACCTCCCTAGCCATGGGAGGTTTACAGTACCATTCATAGATTCCCTTCTATTGAGTGTGCTTTAAGTCCAATCACACAGTTGTTGATTACCCCCAACATAAAAGTTAAACTATCATAATATTAGGGTTACCTTACAGGCCAGTTGTTGTAGTAAATCATAGACTTTACAGCTGGGTAGGACTATTGATACCCTTTTCCCCTTAGTTTGCATAGTACCTCCCAATACCATGAAAGCTTGCCCTCAAGAAGGAGGCTTCCAGACCAGTTTAAGCTTGAGTTCTCCAAGTCCCATGCACAAAGAATGTGGTGGCTTCAGCCATAGTTTCTTAACTTCAATTTCTGAGAGATAACCAAGGGCAAAGACAATAGCTTATATTGTATTGGAAGTCTCTTAGAAAAGAGGTTTCCACTTCTGGGCACTTTATTTTTATATAACCTGCATCTACACACACACACACACACACAGACACAGACACAGACACAGACACACACGCATACACACACACACACACCACAGACACACACATGCATTATATATGTATTTTTAAGTTAGTTTATAAAATAAAAAATCCTTTATGGATTTTTGGATATCCTTCCTGTTATTAATATCCACTTCCTCTCCTTCTGTATTACTTTCCCCAGCACCAGTTAAAGTCTCCCCACCTAATTTTGCCCATTTCTCCCTTGACAGCATCTGTGTCCCACTGTCCTCCTCTCTGGAGCACCTTCTCCCCCACATCTCCATGTTCCCTTACTACTTTTCTGGTTTCCGTGATTATTGAAGGCTCTATCATCATATCTAAAGATTCAGAGCCAGGATCCACAATAAGAATAAACATTCTGCATTTGTGTTTCTAAGTCAGGGTTACCTCAAGTTGTATAACATTTTCTTTTTCAATTTTCTTGGAGACGTTGTAATTCAATTTTTCTTTACAGCAGAATAGAATACCATTCTGCACAACCTCCACATTTTAATTATTTGTCATGAAATGAAAGGTATTTAATTTGTTTCCATTATTCCCATTGTGGAAGAACAGCACTGAGCATGGCTGAAAAAGTATCTCTGGCAGGATATCAAGTCCTTTTGTTACATGGCAAGGAGTGGCATAGCTGTGTCAAATGCTCGATCTATTTTCTGCTCCGTAGTGGAAATGCCAGTTTGCAGTCCTACCGGTAGTGAATAATTTTTTCCTTTTCCCAAAATTCTCATCAGCAATGTTGTCAGCTGTTTCCTTGATCTTAGCCACACTGACTAAAGTAAGATGAAATCTTAGTTTTAACTTGCATTTCCCTGATAGCTGAGGATGTTGAACACTTTTAAAGATATTTCTTAGCCATTTTTTGAGAACTCTGAACATATTCATAGCCCACTTTTAATTGGTTTATTTGTTTTCTTGGTTAATTACTTTTTCGGTTATTTTTATATTCTGGATATTAACCCTCCAGTGCACGTAGAGCTGGCATGTATTCTCCTCCACTCTGAGAGAATACTCTTCACTAGGTTGATTGTTCATATCCAGAGGTAAGTGTGGTATTCAACACTCATCAAAAAAGCTTATTTTCACAAGAGATAGAGACTACTACAGAAACCCAAAATGGGTCAAAATGCAGAAAATAAGTGACTCTGATATGCACAGCCCCAGATGATACATCTGCAATGCAAGACCTATGTGTAAGACTCACAGGACAAATTGGAACTAATGGGAGAAAGACTGTATGAGCCAGAGAGCCAGGACAATTGCTGCTAGATAATGTCTTCTAGACATGAAAGGGAAGCTGCACACATGAAATCTCATCAATATGGCTGCTAAACAGGGCTCCATATTCATAATATCAGTTGACACGTCAATTTAGATGGGGGAAACTTTATTAGGTCCTGCAGATGAGGAGTTCTGGGCAATCATTGGCAGCAGAGAAATGGAGAATCAGTTTTCTACAATGATGAGCTCTCTGGAAGATTATCCAATCACAAGTGGTCAGCATTAAATCCTTGTACGTATGAGCAACACTAAGCGGACTCAGTGGGCTGTAAAAAAAATTTCAAAATAAGTTATGAAATTGAGAGGGACTTGGGGCACGTGGGAGGTGTTACAGGAGAAGAGCATGGGTTGCAAATGATGTAAATATAGGACTCAATTATGAAAGTCTCAAAAATAAAAACAATGATACAGTCATAACTTTAATTGAATTTTTGTAGCTTTTATACAATATAGGTTGATGATATTTAGATCCGTTTCGCTAAATGCTCCACCCAACTAAATATGTGGACTACATTGTCTGCAAATGCTCTTCAGTGTGTGTCATTTTATTAAAAGAACCAGTCAACCAGAGAAGAGTACCTGAGAATAAATGCTTTCATGTAACCAAACTCTATTTATTCAGGAGAGGATAATCTTTCCAATAAACTAGTAACATACAGAATAATGAAACTAGAAGCCTATCTATTAACATTTATAAAAATCTACTCAAAATTGTGTTGAAGATTATCTTCCATGAAGAGGAGACAGAACCTAGATCCCTCTAGGTCCAAGTGATTTAACACTGAGCTCTGTCCCTAGCCCTCTTATTATTATTTTTTATTTAGGGACAGGATCTCACATATTTGCCCAAGCCGACCTTTAGCTTTCAAACTTCCTATATCAGCCTTTCTGTGCTAGAAATAGCTGAAGTTTAAATATGAGAGTTGGAATTGTGATGCTAATGAAAAGCATCCAATGAAAGCATTTAGAATGTTGGAATGGGCAAATGATATGTATAATGTACAGAAAACAAAGCCAATAGCATACAAGTGGAATAACATTGACCTCAAAAGCATCTTCTCAATAAAAAAATAAGTGATTCGAAGACACAAGCTCAAGAATGGGAGAAATGATTGTAAACTGTATATCTGACAAGAGGTTAATACTCAAAATATCTAAGAAACTGAAAAAGAAAAACTTAACAGCAATGGTAATAGTATCCAGTTAAAATGAGCAAGAGATGAAAACAGAGTTTGGTAAAAACAGGACATCCACATAGCCCACAAGTTTATGAGAAACACTCAGTGGATATCATGATTATCAATGGAAAGAAAGACAGAACTTCAAGAGCATATCACCTCACACTATTCAGAATATAATGTACCAAATTTTCCCAACATAAATAATTCCTGCCATTCCATTTTATTTTCATATATAATCAATAATAATAAAATATAAATGGCAATTTTGTAATGTCTTTAAAAAAAGGAATAGCTACCATCACAAAAACGAGAGTTATGGGTTAGAGAAA